CATGTTGGCAACCGCCGCAATTATTTTATTTATGCAGGTGTGATCCAATAATCGAAAATGTGGAATACGTTCGAAAATTTATTCACCCCTTCTCTAGCGTAGAATACGTTTTCGAAAGTTCCATTGAAATAATGCACATCTCTGTATTTTCCATCAAATTGTTCCAGCTTAAAACGAAAGTAAACTACACATTCTGCATATATTCCAAATTAATTGTGGTATAAACTCTGACGCCATTGCGCGTTTTAATTGCACCCTATACATATTTCGCTGAATTCCTAACAGTTTGCTCTACACATTTCCCTTTACTCCATACAGCCTGACGCTAACGAAGGGGAGGGGAGCTATATTAAATAGTTAAAAGTCTGAAAGTAAATTTCCTAAATATTTTTCAAATGTTAAAGGGCATCAATATTGAATACTTATATCACACGTCACAGTCCTGTGCTACTAACCCGGATAGACAGAGCTATTGCTGGATGAATTAATTGGAAGCCGTGTGACATTTCTTCAAAGAGCGGTAATGTATACCAGGTGATCTGCGTTAGTGCGCATGAGAAGACGGTTAACGACTTCGTTGATAAAAACCGAAGAAAAATATAAAGAAACCTCAGTAACAGCAGGGTTCCACGATTATGAAACCGAGTTGATCTTGTATTATGACTTCTGAACTACCTACTTATCTCAAAGTTCCAGGACGTATCATGGCCATTGCTGAAGAGATAGATTCCATTGATCTATAAGTTAGAGCTAGGTGACATAGGAGATCGGAAAAAAATTAATTTCGAAATAATAACCAAGCCTCTAAAAATTAAAGGAGCGACGGAAATCTTACGAAAATGTTATATAACAAGGTAAACAAGTTCACTTGATTCTTTCGCAACCAAATACACAACCTCCTTCCAGCCATGGTATAAATCACCATAACCTTTTTATTATACCATGCCATAACCTCATCCTAAAGCACGGCCATCGCCGCGCGCGGGCTCAATGTGAAACACCAGATTTTCCATCACGTGCTTATAATTATACATTTTTCAATCGGTATTCGATTAGTTTATTAATTATTAATTATTATACACACTTTACTCTGCACATACAGTACAACGGATACTATATTCACATTTCTTATATAATAATTTGTAGTAAGATGTAAACCTAGAAATTTCAATTTTCTGCCCATGATCGTCTCCGTGTGTCAAAACAATAGTTATTTTACTGACGAGTTTTGTATTACACCCAATTACTGTGTTTCGAAATTGATGTAAAATCAAAAAATAAAATAATAACCTCCACCAAATCAGTGCTACATGGCAAGAAAATTTCAACAACATAAGCAAGTGTCTTAATGTACTGCGATTCATGCATACTATCAATGTGATACATAGACTGTGATATATTGTAAAGAATGTTTGATTGTAAAATGTCTGTGATATGTCCTACACACGGTGTCCATTTTTCGGGTGCCACTATGGGGATCTCACTTATCTTAAGAGATAGAAAGTTGGTTAAATGGGGGCAAAGTTGCCAATTTTCGTACCGAGTAAGAATCTGAAAAGAAATTTGAAATATCTTCAATACTTTTTAAGATATCGCAAAAAAACGAAAATTTCTGATTTTCGTTTTTAATTTTTGTATGATAAACTAATCGTAGTAGACATTTCTAATTAACACATTATTCGGACACTTTTTAATGGAGATTTCAAATATGGCATCCTGTTTTTAATAACTTTCAAGCTGACGGAGAAACACGTGGAAACTTTAGTTTTTCTTATGTGCGCCATTTTGAATTTTCACATTTTTAGATTACGTTTTTTTTTCTCTTTACAACGATATATCACACATGGTGGTTTAGTATCACATTTTTCCTAAAAATACAATTTTTAATTTTTTGAGAAGAGTGCTTTGGAAAAAGAAAACGTTCATTTGTTGTGAACAAATGACGAAGTTCAACAAGGTAGTTTTGTAAATTTCATTTTTCATTGTTCCCCACAAAAAATAGTCCAAGGGAGACAGGTCAGGTGACCGCGCCGGCCAGCGTTCGTCGCCATTATCAGCAATAACATGATTGGGCAACAATTCCGATAAGCATTCCCCAACCCTCATAGCATTATGGGGCGGTGCGCCATCTTGCTGGAACCATCTCGAGTTCAAACGATGAAGAGGAACGTTATTGTTAATAAAATCGGTTAGAAATGTCCTCAGGAAATGGAGGGACCGATCAGCATTTAGAGTCTCTTAAGGACCAATTATTGTATCGCCCAATAAACCGACCCATACGTTAACGCTAAAACGTATTTGTGGTCGTCGTTCTTGAAATTGATGAGAATTTTCAATTGACCAGTAATGTTCATTGTCAAATTTCAAAATTTTTACCGCTTGCAAAATTGCCTGCTCCTATTCATTGGGTCTATCACCACATTACTGTCTACATCTTTTAAAAGAACCATATTCGCCCAAGTTTTTATGCAGCAAAGAAAAATACCTCAAACTAGATTGTAGCCGCTCTGGATAACGCTGGAAGTATGTTGCAGCAGCCATGTGGGCATTTCGATGAGAAGTGTAGTAAACTTGGATCGTATCTGTTTGATCTGCACTTGAAAAAGGCATTTTCGCATAAACCTAAATGGCACTACATGAAATACCTAAGTCAACCTTTTGTTCACAACAAAAGAACGTTTTCTTTTTCCAAAGCACTCTTCTCAAATAATTAAAAACTGTATTTTTAGGAAAAATGTGATACTGAACCGCCATGTGTGATATATCGTTGTAAAGAGAAAAAAAGACGTAATCTCAAAATGTGAAAATTCAAAATGGCGCCTATAAGAAAAACTAAAGTTGCCACGTGTTTCTCCGTCATCTTGAATGTTATTAAAAACAGGATGCCATATTTGAAATCTCCATTAAAAAGTGTCCGAATAATGTGTTAATTAGAAATGTCTACTACGATTAGTTTATCATACAAAATTAAAAACGAAAATCAGAAATTTTCGTTTTTTTGCGATATCTTAAAAAGTATTGAAGATATTTCAAATTTCTTTTCAGATTCTTATTCGGCACGAAAATTGGCAACTTTGCCCCCATTTAACCAACTTCTATCTCTTAAGATAAGTGAGATCCCCATAGTGGCACTCGAAAAATGGACACCGTGTATATAATTTACTGTACTGTACAGGTGATATTTATAAACTGTGATATATAAACCCTTAGTCAGAAAACAGGCTAATGGCCTTTGAAGCCAAAGCCTTAGGTGGGGTTTTAGTGGGTAAGTCTGGATAACGGGAGAGCCCCACATTACTCCGAACTTCCTCATTATGGAGTGTGCATAAGGTGCATTTCTCCACCAACAAATAAAAAAAAATTCATTAAATTCTCAGGAGAATCAATTGTTCTCTGGTCGTAACTGTTTGGAACGATGGGCTTCTGTTTAGATTGTAGGCAAACAAGATTCTTATTAATATTAAAGTTTGATATTAACGGGTTTTACAAATTATTATGAACATTTTCTACCACCCAAAAAGAGAAACTTTCACGGAATCTAAATTTTACTAGCTTTACTACTTCTCACCTCAGATGACACTTTAGTGATTGTATAGTGAGTTTGAGTGGAAGAGTAGCTAATTAGCTAACACACACCCCCACTATAAAATAAAGACAATAAAATAAATCACAAGAAAATAGTGACTCAGGTTATAGACTCTTCATAACCACCCAAGACTTCATGAATTTGATAATTAGAGCTCAAATCCCATCATCCATACTCGGATTTACTGCAAAATTGTGAATGAACGAATCACTCTAACACTCAAAAACTTTCTCGCACCAAATCAGCTGGGAGTAGGAATCAAAAATAGAGCTGAAATTGCGGACCATGCGGCCAGAACCTACATAAATGCAAATCAATTCACTCCAAAAACGTTCTTCAAAACTGACTTCGCTATTGCTTTCAACAAAATAAGAAGAGATGCAGTCCTGGAAGAAGTGAAATCATAATTTCCAAAGAATAATAATTGATTTGGCTATGCCAACACCTCTGTTTTGGGGAGTTTATCTAATGCAAAATATTCGTGTTCTCAAATTTATTTATTTATTGTTCCTATGGTTCTGGGCCCTCAACAGCCTTTCGCCCAATTACAGAATGACCCGCATAATACTTTTTAGAGGTGCCCCTGCAGAAGGCATTAAGGTGTTCTATACTACTTCTTTACAAATTAGAAAACTGCAGGAAATCCTAATTGGGCGTAGCCGAAAGAATGCTAGAAGTTATTCTGGTGCGAATTACCCGCAAACCAATTGCCTGGGTTCCGGTGCGATTTGTCAAAGCGCATGGTACAAACTGACCAACAGAGGAGATATTTTCGTAGGCAGTTTCAGCAATTATAATGAAAGTAGCAGAATCGTAAAGTGTCAGGTTTTTGTAAGCATTTGTTTATGAGTATTATTTATGTTCTTATATCCACCCATAGTTTGATGTTGTTTTTCAAAAGGACATAATAAAACCAGAAGTAAATCAGCATATGCATGATTAAAGCGTATTTTTGTTATTACAGATCAGTATTATATACGGTCCTCGTCTCGTAAATAATATGTGTAGTACCCCCGTAGATGTACTATATGGTCACAAGTTTAAAGAATGTTGATTGTTGGCGTCGCTCTCACTCTGGGAACCTCAGTCTTCGTTTTTGTGCTGTATAGTTCACATTGTGTGTTTCCTTCTTCGTATTATGCCGAAACATTCGAAAAAAAGACACAGAAGTCGAAGCTCTACGCCGCAGACTGCCAGCAATTACGACGTTGGAAGAATATTAAGGCGCATCGAACGGCGTTTAGACAAGGTAGAAAAACAACAACGAAAAAGACATCGCTCCAGGTCGCCTTCTTACGATGCTTCTCCAAGGGAGGAGCACGAAATTAGATCGACAGTTTCGCCATCGCCAAGGTGTGATTCCATACCTGCCGCTTCTCGCTGTACCTAATTCAGTGGAAGCAGAGCAATTTTTAGAGGACAGATCGGAACATAATACAAACCAAGGGAGTAAGTATACGTTCTCTTTGTGTAAATTATTACACGAATTTCGAACAGAACAGCGCTTTGTTTTGTTCCTTAAATAGATTCTACTAGAAGTAGTTTCTATTAATTGGTCGCGTATCCGCTGACCTTGTGTCCAGCACAGGATGCTGTCACACGTAATGCCTAAGAGGCATTTTTTGCGTTAATATTTACAGCGGGTTGAGCTAACCGGGCTGTTTTAGCGCGTAATTTGACGCTGAAATGCTTAAAAAGCATTTGCGCGGGTTTTTCATTGAATATAAAATTCAATGTTTTTATTTACCTTGCAGGTCAATTTTGCACTTTCCTTTATTTATCTGTAATTAATTCGCTACTCGTTAGCAAGGTGATTGAATCAATCCCCTCCTTTACAGATTTGTTTGAGAATTTAGAACAGCAAGATGGGGCGTTACCGGTAATTACACCAGAGATTCTATCCATAATGGGAGACGATCGAATTGAGGAAAAAACATTGTCAAAACCCATTCAGCCTGTAATAGCGGAGAGATGGACAAATATTTTAACAAATGGGTTAACGGAGGAAGTGAAGAAAGCCCTCATTGATAAACATTTGCCACCTGAAAATCTTCAGGCTCTTTTGGCCCCGAAATTAAATCCTGAAATTAAGGCGGCTATTCCGGAAGGCGCCTTACGTCGAGATGCTCGATTACAACTGTGGCAAAAACAAATTGGGGCAGCAACATCTGCGGTGGCGTCCGGCTTATCGTCCATGTTGAAGGAAGGTGCGGACGTAAATAAGGGATTCATCGAGACACTAAGTGACGTGGGTCGCTTATTAAGTGATCTACATTTCTGCGAATCGTTTTCGCGGAGGGAACTTTTGTCCTTACAGTTAAATAAGGACCTTAAAGACACCCTTAAAAATACAAACATCACCGATTTTATATTTGGTGAAAACTTGGACACAAATATTAAGTCAGCAAAGGACTTAGAAAAGTCTGCTGAACAATTAAAACTTCAAAAGAAGGTTTTTCGTCCAGCTGCATCCGGAAAACCGGAAAACTCCCGCCGTCCATTCATGCAAAGGAGGGGCGTACATCAGAATGGACGCGGCTCTCGAGCCCCCAGATTACAGCGACGACAGGGACATCTTCCTGTAGTTCAATACAGAAAGGAGCACTTTCATTCGCAGGGGGAGAGAAAACCACGTCAAAAACGCTAGAGGTTAGTATGAGTGGAGGGAGATTAAGACACTTTGTGCAGTGCTGGAAGAACTTGTCCATTAATGAGAAATTAATTTCTCATATCAGGGGATTTCGTATACCCTTGATTAAAAAACCAGTACAAAATTATGTACCTTTAGAGCCTCGTCGATCTACATCAGAAATAAGTATTATTAGTTACTTGATAAAAAAATTACTAGAAAAACGTACAATTACTGTTGTGGAACCAAAAGACGGACAGTAATTTCCAACATATTTATTGTTCCAAAACCGGATAAATCATTTCGATTAATTTTAAATCTAAAGGCCTTTAATAAATATGTTGAGTCTCCCCATTTCAAATTGGAGGACTACAGAACTGTTGCTCGTCTTTTATCTCCAAACTGTTTTATGGGTACGATAGATTTAAAGGACGCTTATTATTTAATTCCTATTTGCGACGCCCATAAAAAGTATTTAAGATTTTGGTTCAACGGTATACTGTACGAATATAACTGTTTACCCTTCGGATTAACGTGTGCACCTTGGATTTTTACGAAAATTTTAAAACCTGTAGTAACAATCTGTAGAGAAAAGGGTTTTTTGTCAGTAGTTTATTTGGACGACATCCTATTACTAGGAGAAAGCAAGGAGGATTGTGTAAAATATAACAGAAACTGTAAAATTATTAGAATTTTTAGGTTTTATCATAAATTATGAAAAAAGCAAAATCGTCCCTGCACAGGAATGTAAGTTTTTGGGATTTCTGTATAATTCGAGAAGCTTAAGTATTTCATTGCCGGAGGATAAGCGTAGAATAGTATATTCTATAACGAGTATGGAATAGAGTGTATTCCGCGCGAGTGGAAAGTTCGTCACACGAGCCGAAGGCGAGTGTGACGGTTCCACGAGCGTTGAATACCTATTCCTTACAAGTAATAGACATAATTTTTTCTACTACTACGACGAATTTTTGCAAAATATGTAAAACAAGCAGGGTTAACTATAGACAATTCACACATTAGTATGGACGTCTATGTACGGTGGGTTGGTATAACAGATCCCTGTGGCATATTTGATTTGATTTGTCTAAATGGCTGTATAAACAAATTCCTCGACAATTTCTCTTCCCTCAATATTATCCCAGAAAAGGAAAACTAACTTTTCTGTGATATTATTTACAAATGTGCACATTTATTGAATGTGCCCTGTCCTGCGCAGTGTATCGGCGTGGATCATTTAGATTTAGATAAACATAACCATAAGCGATAAACGTATTCGAGATTGCGACCGGAATGTAATTCATGATGTGTATAAATTCAAATACAAAATGCTACAAAGAGGACGTTATGGATGCAAATTAGAAATAAACATCATAGCACTACTCGAAAAATTTGTATGTAAGGTATCTACGAGTGTAGGTAACATTTTAGTGAGCATTATATTTTAGGTTAGTTTTAAAACTTCCTGGAGGAAATGTGTTCTGGATGACCAACAACGTTAACTGTTTTGATATGGATGTTCTTTTTGTATAGTGCAGTGAGGTACATTAATTCATTGTAGAATATGCAACTTGATGTTTGGTTGTAGGTATACCAACGTACGGGTTCCTCGTAATTGTAAACTTTCGTTGTACATTAGTTTTCGTATTGGGTATTCTAATTACAGTTCCACCTAAGTCCACCGATTTTTATGTTCCACAATTCGTGCTTACGACAAGCACCACTAATGCCAACTATAAGAGCAACCTGCAAATGTAAAATAAATATGATGTAACGAGTAACGATTTGAACGTGTAATGTTATAGTAGATATGAACTGTCGGGGGTGCTTTTTGAATAAACATTTTTACTTTGCTCGTTGATAGAATTTTTGACTTTTTAGGGAAATAGCCGCTGGATTGCATTTTTAACAAGGCCTGCAACTTAGCATAGCTGCTTATATCTACATTATTGTTCAAAAGTATCGTAGAGCACAGCATGGAATACGTTTTCCACAATGTGGATGCTTTAATTTACTGTGATAGTTTGCTAAAGTAAGCACTACGTTCTCTGAAAATGAGTTGGTTTTTTTCTTGTCCTCCACTCCAAAAATTTGCTGTATGTATGTTCGTACACTTTTAGTTTGTCGGGAAGTAAATTTTTTTGCGTGTTCTGCTTCCACGGTGATTTCCGGGGGAGTATTTGAAAGTTCCATTAAATCCTCACTGGCCACTGCTATTCATTTTCGCGCTACCGGTCCTTAAAATTTAATATCTGGCGCAAGCGTAATTAAAATTTTGACAGTTTAAGAATTTTGGTTTAGGATGTCCTGTTTTAGATGTCGCCACATGTGCTCATTCCATCACAAGAGCTAGAATGAAATTATTCCACTTCACTAGCAGAGAATAGGCGAGATTCTGTTGTTAAAAAAGAAGCAAGTATGACGTGATTCTAAGGTAGTAGTAGAAAAAACTACTTACAATGATTAAGGTCATATCTACCAAAGATTGTTGTACGATACGACTATTTTCAAAGTTTGTTGGAAGTTTGGTTTCGGCAATGCCGGCCGTGAAGTATGGGCTTTTATATTTAAAGTTATTTGAACGGCAGCGGTTCTTAGCTTTAAGGAGGTGCAGGGGCAATTATGACAAAGTAATGCACCTTTCATCAGAATTGTGTTTAGATTTTTGCTGGTGGGCAGATAAAATAAAACATGCGTCTAATTCAATACGATACGACTCATTTAATTTGGAATTGTTTACGGATGCCTCAACTACAGGCTGGGGAGCCTTTTGTGAGGAAGGCACGGCGTTTGGATTTTGGTCACGATGAGCAAAATTGCCACATTAATGAGTTGGAATTATTAGCACTTTTCTTTGGATTAAAATGTTTTGCCAAAAAGCTGTCAAATTGTAACATATTATGCAGAGTAGATAATACAACGGCAATCAGTACAATTAACCGAATGGGGAGTGTCCGTTTTAATCATTTAAATAAGATAGCCCGTTTGATTTGGAGTTGGTGCGAAGCGAGAGGGATTTACATTTTGGCTTCGTATATTAATTCAAAAGACAATTCAGAAGCCGATCAGGGTTCTCGGCAGGTACATAAAGAAACGGAATGGGTACTGGCAGATTTTGCCTATCGAGAGTTAGTGGGGCGATTTGGCACGACAGATACTGATTTATTTGCTAGTAGAATTAACAGAAAGTGTCTCAAATTTGTCTCTTGGGTAAGAGATCCCGATGCATTTAAGGTGGATGCTTTTACTATCGACTGGGCAGATTTTAGTTTTTACGCGTTTCCACCTTTTACACTAGTTTTGAGGGTATTACAAAAGATAATTAAAGATAAGGCGGAAGGGGTAGTGGTAGTTCCGTTATGGACTTCACAGCCCTGGTATCCTATTTTTATTTCTCTATTAGTAGAACAACCAATAGTGTTTAAACCTAACAGAGCCTTACTTTCTTTTAGCGGAACGCCACATCCTCTCTCAAAGACTCTTTACCTAATGGCAGGCAAGTTATCAGGGAGGCGTTATTGCGAAGAGAGGTGCCGAACGAATCAATAGACATCTGTTTAGCGTCTATAACTAACTCTACTTTAAAACAATATAGTTCAGCATTAAAGTTATGGTGGAGCTTCTGCTCCCAACAGAACCTTGACCCATTTCGTCCTTCAGTGCCATCAGTGTTACAGTTTTTGACCCGCCAATTTTCCACTGGCGCCTCTTATGGTACCTTAAATTCGTGCAGATCTGCCATTGCACAATTAGTGGGTCCGGAGTTGGGAAGAGATTATAGAATTAGGAGGTTTTTTAAGGGAGTGTTTGGATTAAAACCACCTCTGCCTAGGTATGAAAATACGTGGAATCCAAATACAGTGTTAACATACGTGAGAACATTGGACAATATGGAAATTAACTTGCCACTATTAACTCGAAAGCTAGCTATTTTATTGGCATTGGCTACTGGACAACGTATTCAGACTTTACATTCTATAGAAATAGAAAACATTTACACACACGCGGATAGAGTGGAAATAAAAATCCCTAATAGAATAAAAACCTCTTCCTTGCACAAATCTCAACCATTATTAACATTGCCTCATTATGAAACCGATCCAAAAATATGTGTAGCAACGACACTCTTGGTTTATCTTACAAGAACTAAGGAATTACGCAAGCCTGGTCGGTTCCTTTTTATAACATGTAAAAAGCCTTATCGTCAAGCCTCTTCACAAACCATTGGTAAGTGGATAGCCAAAGTATTAGGTGAAAGTGGAATTGATACAAAACAATTTAAACCGCATAGTACGCGACATGCGTCAACCTCAAAAGCGGCACGGGCGGGTGTAAGCTTTGATACCATTCGCCTCGCGGCAGGGTGGTCAGGTACATCTAGCTGTTTTGCAAAGTTTTATAACAGGCCGTTGAATAATATTAGTAATTTTGCAAATTCTGTATTAAATTTAGATATTGATTAATAATTAATATTTAGAATATCGATCAACTAGTTAAGTTACTATTTTTATTTTTGAAAGAGAAATTTCTTTTGTTTTTTGATTTAGGTTTTGATAACACGAATAAATTAGCAAGTCGTGTGATATGAGGTTATTGCAACGTCTTTAAACATCTACACATATTATTTACGAGACGAGGACCGTATATAATTATAAGATCAAACGAACTTACCTTAAGTGATGTTCGATCTTGATTATATACGGTCCTCGTCGAAGTAAATAACGTCCCAGATCCCACCCTTAGTTATCAATTTTTTTTTCTTCGCCCAATCATTGCAATAACTAGGCAAAAAACTCGACTGAGGTTCCCAGAGTGAGAGCGACGCCAACAATCAACATTCTTTAAACTTGTGACCATATAGTACATCTACGGGGGTACCTACACATATTATTTACTTCGACGAGGACCGTATATAATCAAGATCGAACATCACTTAAGGTAAGTTCGTTTGATCTTATAATTTTATTAGCAAAGTAAGTTTTTCCGTGACAGTAAATTCTCTCGCCACAGTATTTGTT